CACACAGAACACTAAATAATAATAATAATAATAATAATAATAATAATAATAATGTGTATATATCTTTTAGCAACGCATGTACACGTGACAATCAATGTGACCAAGCGAACCATAGCAACCAAGATAAATATGAGAACCATGGCAATCATGATAACATAAGTAACAATGCCAACTTTAATAAGTTTAGTTTATGCAAGTTTATGAAAGGCTAGGATAAGTAAGGCTAAGGAATGTTTGGTTAGTCGAGGGTTTGGCTCGGCTGTGGTAGGTTAGACTATGAATTTAGAATCCCAAACTTGCTAAAGACCGCGTGTGACATTCTCTGCTGTCTTGTTAAATCCCTTGGTGGCGGCGTTTAAGTTCGTTTAGTATTCTGCACAAGGCTTCCAAGGCAGCAATTTGATATGGCTGATAGTAAAGTCAAATGAAGCAGTCGATCCTGTAGGGGTTCAGTCCAGTTCCAGAGGATTCTAACCGGTCGTCATTAAGTTGACTTTAGTGGTTGAGAGTCGAGTACAGTGACACAGTTCGAAAATAGAGTGAATTATAAGGGAAACTGAGCACAGAAGAGGAATTTTGAAAGTGATTAGACTCGTGATAACTACGCAATTGGTACGCGGAATCACTTCAACCGAGCCTTACCAACTCATTTGGAATTCTTTGTTATTTTCCTCGACGTTGGTCTTCTACTAGTAACGCCCTGAAGATGGAGAGAGCATGTCCCGTCGGAATGTTGGTGTCTACGTATGAGTCTACATGGCGTTACAACCCAGAATAACATGAGCTAAATAGACCATCAAGATAATCAGATACTCTTACTAGTGTGATAAGGACATGAAAACATAGATACAAATACACCAGATAAGAGTTGAACTTAAAATGACTGTCTTGTGGGTAATGAACTTGCAGAAATCTAGAAGACTCGCTGCCTTGAGGAACTCTAATGTCATAGGAGTTGTACATAACATCACAGGCGGAAAGTAGAGTACAGAAATAATTAATATGATTAATAATAATTAAAATGAAACAACGTATTAAGTATATGAGAGAGGATAAAGCGAATACTTCAGACATATGCACACCCAACAGTAAATACGAACAAAGGTAAATTAAATTAATTGGATTTCTGTGTTAACGTCCGTTTTAGTATTTCAGACCATAAAATTAACGTCGAATGACAGGCTGATTGACGAATAAATAATTGGACAGGAAACGATCGCGGACAACTTTGAAGTATTGTTTCGGAATTTACTTGGAGGACCTGACAAAAACCACGAAAAGTGTCAGTTACGATATCCGGTTTCCGGGCAGAGATTTGAACCTGGAACCTTTCAAATACTACGCAGAAGTGCTAATCACTTCTTTCATCTTTTCACCTGTGACTCTATATATATATATATATATATATATATATATACA